ATGTTCCAGGCAACGTTTTACTTGTCACCATCGAGGGTGTTGAAGCTGGCGATGTCAGCATTGAGGTTATTCACCTGGTAATGCCTTTTAAACTACATAAAACTTTTGGCTTGAAATATTTTCAGCATCGAGTTAATAGTGATTTTTCAATACTTAAAATTAAAATAGTTGGATTAGGAAATTCCATTTCTTCTCTGTTTCATGCTCGCCATGGTTATAACTTCAGTATGTACAGTTCTGATGTAATGTTGATTGTTTGGTATCACATGCTTGTGATTTCCAGGATTGGGTCAGCATGGAAACTTTTAGCTAGTTTTATTTTCCTTAAAGTAACTTGCATATGCTGTCACCTTTAATGAGACAATATTAAATAACAGATGGTCTTTTCATAGTCTTTTGTTGGAGACAGTCTGGATATATTGTCATGTGACTGCTTTTAAGGTCTATCTTCTCGCAGTTGTACAGGTGTTTTTCTCTACTTATATCTTTCGGTTGCTATTCACCTCATATTATTATATTGAGGATATGTTGCTTCTTCCGGTGTCTTTTCATTTTCCAGTTCTATTTGATATGCACAAAATGGAGTTTCTCTATCTTAGGTATTCTCAGCATTTGGTTTTGTCCACAAGATTGCTACATTTGAGAAGTCTGCCGGTTTTCAGGTAATTTGTCTTGGAGAATTAAAACTGTTTTTATAGCATTACTTTCTGACCGCAATTTTCTTATGATGGTTAATTTGACAGGCTTTGATTCAGTATAGTGATGTTCAGACTGCATCCACAGCAAAGGATTCTCTAGATGGTAGAAGCATACCCAAGTATGTAATTAGGTCTATATACATTGGACAGAGCTTGAATATCCGTATCTATTTTATTTATGACTAATATATCCACACTTGATTGGTTTTTTTGTTAAATGGACTTTTCTATCAGGTGAATTTATGTTTAACCTGTTTAATTTTCAGATACCTTCTTCCAAGTCATGTAAACGAGTGTTACTTACGCATTGCCTACTCTGCCCACACAGATTTGAATATTAAGTTTCAGTCACATCGGAGCAGGTAATGACAAACCTAATTATTCAGTTCTTGATGATTCATTGTTTCTATCATTTTTCTTGATGCCACTGAATGTTGGTTATTCGTCAAGTTACTTGTATGCATAGAACTTTTCAGCAAAATGTGATCTCTCTAATTATGGTTTTTATCATTTAGGGTTTAGTTAAAAGCTCAGTAGCTTAACACAATTCTGTGTTTTCGTGGCCTCCTAGGCTCCTAGTATGTTCTCTATCTTATAATTTTTGTTTTCCCTTTTTAATATTTCTTAGAATGCTATGTGTATGAGGTACACCTTTTTACATTCTCATATTTAGAAACTGATCCTATGATCTTGGTTTTGGATCACCTCGAAGTGTCTAAAAATTGTTTTACACGGCTTCTTTGATCTTTTAATTTTCGTCCAGTGTTGGAATGATTATACTTTTACTTTGGAGTTTAATGTTAAAAGTTCAGCATACTCACAAGTTTTCCTTTTTGGCCTTGGGAACTTCATATGGATCAACAATTGGGCAAACTGTAATCTCTTCTGAAAATCATTTTCAACTTTTCCTTTGAGTGTTGGCAGTTGTATCTTGGAGCAGTAATGTGTGATTGGCTAGGAGTAACAGGATGCCATCTTATATATACTCTTGACGATCTTCTGATACATGCTTTTTATCATTTCATAATCCTGCAGAGATTATACAAACCCTTATCTTCCGGTTAATACCACTGCAATGGAGGGTTTTGTTCAGGCATGTTAATTCAATGTAAACATTTTTCAGTTCTTTAAATTGGGCAAACAATAACATGTTCGCTTCATCCAGCCTGCTTTAGGTCCTGATGGGAAGAAAATGGAATTAGAGAGTAATGTGTTGCTTGCTTCTATTGAGAATATGCAATATGCCGTCACCGTAGATGTTCTTCACACGGTAATGATCTTTGTGATTATTATTCTCCTACGCACGATATATTTGGAGAATAGAATTAACGCATTAGGTGTGGCTTTCAATCAGGTATTTTCTGCGTTTGGAAATGTTCAAAAGATTGCAATATTTGAGAAGAATGGTGGAACTCAGGCACTAATTCAGTATCCAGGTAAATTACTTGTATTATGAAATAATTACATACATGAAGGCATATGAAATAGGACCGTGCTCCAAGAAAAAAGCACTGAACTTCTGTGTGAGTAATGGAAAAGATGAACCATCACATGAAAACGCATCCCTCTTTAGATATGTTATTTATTTGAATAGTGGTTTTTACTCTGTAATAGTTTATGTTTCTTATTTCTCGGGCTACGTTGCTATTCATTTTTTACATTATAATCTATTGACTCTAATACACTATTATTGCAAAAGGATGGAAATATAAAGGAAAAGCAGGCAAAAGTTGAGCAACCAAATTCTTTACAGTTTAAGTGTCTCTGCATAGATATGCTGCTGCCTTTTCTTTAAAAAAAATTAATAAAATAAAATATAACATTCATACCCTTGCCTTTGCAGATATTTCAACAGCTGCCATTGCTAAGGAAGCTCTCGAGGGACATTGCATATATGATGGTGGCTATTGTAAGCTTCATCTATCATACTCTCGTCATACTGATCTCAATGTCAAGGTATAAAAATAATGCTATTTTAACTTAAAAAAATAATAATTGTGCAATAAAATAACGAAACCAAAAGACTGATTGTTGTCCGAGCCAAATTCTAGTTGACCCTGAATAAAAAGGACTTTGCTCACTTTGGTGTATGCTTCTCGACTCATGTCCTTTATTTCATCCAATGCCTCTTTTCATCTGCGGAACTAATTATATTTTTGTACGGATGTTAAATAATATAGGCTTACAGTGACAAGAGCCGAGATTACACGGTCCCTTTATCACTCGCGATGCAACAAACTGTAGCAGCAGCAGCTCCTGGGGTTGGCTATGCTAATGACACATCTGCCCCAGCTGTGGGGCCCGCTTTTGTGTCGGCTTCTAGCACATTTTACGGTCAGGCGTACCCTTCAGCTGCAAATCCCTCTTATGCAGCTGCTCCTCGGCACTTGGGACCTCCGTATTACAGCTCATAAGATTCACTACAGCTCTTGTGAAATTTGACCTTTTCTCGATGAAAACACAGTGTGAAAGTTCATTAAGAGGTTTTTATTGGCTCGTGAGATTTACTTCAGCTCTTGTGAAATTTGACCTTTTCTCGATGAAAACAAGGTATGAAAGGTCATTAAGAGGTTTTGTTGGCTCGTGAGATTTACCTTAGCTCTTGTGAAATTTGACCTTTCTCGATGAAAACACAGTATGTTCATTAAGAGGTTTTTCTTGGAGCACTGTTCGATGATTTTTATTGGAATATATGACCAAATGGAGCAAGAGAAGAATTATTGTTTTTCTGAATAACATGTTATATGATGTTTGAGCAGTTTGGTGTATATGTGATTGAGTTTGTTTCCCCAAAACTGACCATGTTTCATTTTTATTTTATTTCCATTTTTTAATAGTTTATTTTGCTTCATTTACAAAAAAGTAGGACGTTATCAAATTAAATCTGGAAATCCAAGTGATAGTTGACTGTTTCTGTTCAACAATATATAGATAACCAAATATGCAAACGAAGAAAGAGAACTATTCAATGCAGTGACAATTACTACATTGCAGGACTAAATAAAAAATTGATATTAACTTTCCAATACAAAAAATAAAAAATTGAAATGAAAAAAAAATGAATATTTGAAAGAATTAAAGCCAACCGCTTCCCTCGCGGCCTGATGCTCGGTGAATCGCCGTTTTGGAGGAGGGATTTCCACCGGCAATGACGAGGTCCAACTCCGGCCTAAGGTTTCGCCGACGGCGAGGAGGGCCGCCGTTCTTCGCCGGTGTTTTCGCAGCTTGGGCGAGCCTCTGGCGCTTCACTGGGAGTCTGGGATGGGCCGCGCCTCGTCTCTCTTTCTGAGCGAGCAGGGGTGGAGGGTTTCGTCCGCAGCATCGTCTCTTCCGTCTCTGGTGTTGGGTAGGGGTGACCGCCTGCGAGGTTGGGCTGAGGTCGGGGTTTCGGGGTCTAGGCTTGATCTTGCTGGTTTGTCATGGGTGTCAGTGGTGTGGGTCTCCGGGCTCAGGTCTCGTCTGTCTGAGAGATCTGGGACGAAGGGCTCTGCTTCTACTCACCTTGTCCCTTCCGTCTCTGGTGTTGGACAGGGGTGATCGTCGGTGAGCTCAGGCTGAGGGCTGGGATTGGGGATTTGGGCTTGATCTTGCTAGTCGGTTGTGGGTAGTTGGTGGCGTGGGTTTCCGGGTCTCGGGTATCCGTCTGGGCGTGAGTTGGGTTTGTTGGTGTTCTGGACCATTTAGGCGTTTAGTTGGCAGTTTCTGGTTTGAGCTCCTAGGTCGTAGCCCAGTCTGTATGGATGCATGTTCGGTGGCGTTGTCGTGGGATGAATTGGTGTGTGGTTGTCTGCTATGGGAAGGATAATGTTGTTGTGTTTTTTCTTTTGTGTTCTAGGTTTTCTATGTGTGTAGGCTGCGTTTTTCCTTTTTTCTCTACTGTTGAGAGTGCATTTTTCCTTCTTTCTCTCTCGCTGACAGTCTTTGTTTGTTTATTCTCCTGTTGAGAGTTTTTGTCGTCTATTCTCCCTTTGGGAATGTTTAGTGTATGTGTTGTGGTAGGTCTGGTTCTAGAGCACTCGGTTGTGGATGTCTCTCTATTAGAGTCAATTGACACTCGGGTTGTATTCATATACATTTCGTGCTATAATATTATCTATCGTTTTGGAAAAAAAAATTAAAAATTAAAATAAAACCAAAGTAGGGTAAAATAAACGACTCAATATCTATTTTTGTTCNCAAAACAAGATGAATTTCAACATAGATACAAGTTTCTCTATGTTTCTCTTGCAAAATAAATAAATAAATAAAATAAAATAAAAAAATCAATAAATAAACACAATTACTCTTCCTAAAAAGCTACATCTATCCCATGAGTTTCACAAATTCACCAAAATCTATCATCCCATCTCCATTCTCATCAAAGGCGCCAATCATTCTCCTACACCTCTCCACATCCAATCCCTCCCCAAACCCCAAAGCACACAAAACCTTCCCCAACTCCCCTGCATCAATAAACCCATCTCCATTCTCATCAAACACATCGAAAGCCTCCTTTACCTCACCCGAAAAGACGCTTTTGCCCTCAAACATCTCGAAAATGCCGTCCACGTCCAGCCTGGCCGGAATATCCTCGCAAGAAAGACGTAAGCTCGTCAAGACAACCGACAAATCTCCCCTGCTGACGTGGCATTTCTCTTCCTGCACGGGGTTTGTCTTTCCTCCTCGACTCGATAAAACGGAATCTTGAACTGGGGTGAGAAGCAGAGAATAGAACCCCAAGAAAAATCCGGCGAACTTCTTCTTGTCGAAAAAAACGAGGAATTCAATCAAGCACACGACTAAGACGAACACTTGGATGAAGCTCGAATTTACCGATAAGATATCGAGGATTTGGAGCTTGCTTAGATTGCTTAGAGACATTGCTATGATTTTTTTTCTTTTTTCTTTTTCTTCACATTCAATTGAATATAGAAAGTTTGATAGTGTTTTCTTAAGAGGAGTTTGTTGTACTTTTGATGGGTGTGATTTGGAATTGGAACTTTATATATGGTATTTGGAATGTGGAATTATAAGGTCACGGGGAAATTTTAGCTTTGAATTTAGGAAGTTGCTTGTGTGTTGCGAGTTATGTATGTTACGTAGTGATGGGGAGAAAATGGAGAAAATTAAATAATATTAATTAGGTGAAAGATAGGTAGTGGGAAATTTGGAGGAAATTTCGCTTTGGCATGAATTTTTGAGAAAGAATTAGATAGTTGTGGTACTTAAATGTGAACTGTTATTATTATTACTAGTGTGTACCCCGTGCGATGCACGGGAATAATATTAAATTTACAATATTATAAATAGACCTCGAGTTTGAGTCAATGGCGGAAGTGAAAACTACTATTGATCGGATTTAAAAAGAGGAAGAAAAAAAAATAATTATAAATAAAAGAGGAGGATAAACAATACTTAATAATTATAAATTAAAGCTTCGAGGTCAAACAATGTAAAATGATTTTGTATAAGAGAATATAAAAAATTTGATTACACACTATTTCAAAATTATTATTATACTTTTTTGTATGGTTAGCTTAGAATATTTGTAAAAATATTAGTAATTAGACCGATGAAAATTAGCTTCTTAAAGTAGATAATGAATTTCTAGTAGTAATTATGAATTGATTTCTATTTTATTTTATTTTTTCAAATCTGTATAGATAAGAGATGAGATTTTTTAAACATCTAAGATCGTATGCAATGAGATTTTGTAACAGAAGAGATAAGCTCGTGTAGATTTATACTAAAAATAGGAAAAAGAAAAACAAATATTTATTGTTAAAACGATAAACTAAGAAACAGGAAAAAGAGAAACAAATCTTTACACAATTAATGAGCAGATTTTTTTACTTATTCAGATTTGTCCAATAATTACTATATATAGGATATATTTAATGATTTTGGCGGGAAAAAGTTTCTAAATTTGTAAAAAGGTTATTCTTTTTATATAATGATTATTATATTATTATTTTTTTTTNAGTGAGAATCTGAAATGTGGAATTACAAGATTTGTGGCGTCCGCGACTCCGCGTGGACTTTTCAAAATAAAGTTCCTTGAAAGTGGAAAGTTTATACTTTCTTGGCAGCTTCATAGTGATAAAATAAAGTATGAGACACGAAAATGACGTTATAATTAATTTTTGCTGCTTCAATAGTTTTTTTTTTTTGGAAATTTTCTTGTTTACTTTTTTTTTACTCCAATACTTTAGACTAAGGTATAGATTAGTGACAGGTAAAGCATTCATATGCATGGTTATTCGTTTTTAGAGGATGTATTCAATTAGGATTTCTAAGGATTTTTAAAGACTTTAGAAATTCTGGTGTATTCAATTTAGATTTGTTAAGACTTTTAAAAATCTTGGGGTATTCAATTGGGATTTTAAAAAGTCTTACAAAATTCTGAGGTATTTAATTTATTTGACACTAGAATTTGTTATGACTTTTTAAGATTTGGTGGGATTTCTAAACAAAAAAACCTTATACGATCCTAGTTGAAATCCCAGACTTAAGATTTCACGGAATTTCTCCAAAATCTGGAAATCTTAACAAATCTCAAATCTTAAAAGGTCTTAAAATGTCGCTCTAAATCCCAATTGAATCTCTTCACTTTGATGTTATAAATTTGAAAATAGTAAGTTGATTTTTTGTTTAAAATGTTTCTCTTACTAATCAAGAAAATATCTAAAAATTACTTTAAAAAAAACATTAAAAATAATAAATAAATCCCTTTTTCGTCATTTGCAGATTTTTTTTTTCAATAAATATGAATTTGAAATTGTTTCCTTATTAATCTCGTGCTTAATTGCATCGAATTAAAACTTTAAAAGAATGACAAATTTTATTTCTTAATTATCTTTTAAAAACAAATCTTATCAATTTCGGCCTTTATTTACAGAAAATAAAAATTCAAAATTTCAATCGCATAGAACAATTTAGGTGTTTTAGAACATTTATCTATATATATATAAAGAAGAGCAACAACGCATTAAATTTTATTCTCACTCCAAAATTTTCAGCATTCAATTTTATTTTTAAGTTACAAAATAACTTACTTGAATGTCATAAATTATGAGCATAAACCAATCAAGGGAGTTACAAAATTGTACTCAAATTTTAAGTCACACCCACTCATGAAAATGGCCGGGTGTATTAGCATAAAGAAAATGGTTGTAACGGTTCTTCCGTAGCAATTACTTGATCAAAATCAATTTTAAGAATTATTTTCTTAATTCATATTTTTTTCTTCATGAATCAAATTATGATTTTTTTTTTTATATTGTTATCTTTTTAAAGTATTCTTGTCTGTGCAAATGCACAGGTTGATTACTAGTATATATATATAAAGAGGAGCAACACATCATTTAATTTTATTACCATGCATTAAATTTTATTCTCATACATTAAATTTTATTCTCCCTTCAAAATTTTCATAATTCAATTTCATTTTTAAGTTACAAAATAACTTGCTTGAATGCCATAAATTATGAGCATAAACCAATCAAGGGAGTTACAAAATTGTACTCAAATTTTAAGTCTCACACACTCATGAAAATGGTTGGGTGTATTAGCATAAAGAAAGTGGTTGTAACGGCTCTTCCATAGCAATTACTTGATCAAAATCAATTTTGAGAATTATTTTCTTAATTCATATTTTTTTATGAATTAAATTATGATTTATTTTTATTTTTGTTATATTTTTATGTTTTTAAAGTATTCGTCTCTGTGTAAATGCACAGATTAATTACTAGTGTTTTTAATAACAGTTTATTTTTTCTTAGGTGATTTCAGACGTCATTTAATAATTATAGAACATTTTAGTTCTTTACACATGTTTAACATTTTAGATGCTTTTAATATTTTAGGTTAACACATTTTTATGTATTTTTGCACGAGTTAAATTTTATGTACTATTTTGAACAAATTAATGTAAGTCAATTGTGTTAAATATGAACTCTATATTTTTATTTGATAAATATTATTTAAGAATTTATTGAATGAATAATACGTGTATAAACACGTACACATTCATTCAACAAAATGAAATTCGAAAAATTTCTGGAAGTCATTGATCAAGTAATTTAACAAATATTGTTCTCTTAGGTTGTGTTTTAAAAAAATGTAAGTCAGATTACAAGTTGCAAGTCACGTGGAAAGATTAATTATGATTATGATAATACGTGTTAATTAATAGTTTAATGCATTAAGTTATATGATTATGAATTTATGATTATACGTGTTAATAGTTTCATGCATTAAGTTACAGCCTTCCAGGACGAAGAACATTTCAAGAAAACTGATGAGATATTCGGTCAAAAATAGTGACCAATTTAAAAATTAATTAGTAAAACATGTGATTAGTCAATAAGATGCAAATGAACATTTAATTGAGATATTAATTAAGTGGGAGTCATCTTCTCATTTGTATTGGGCTGAGGGTAATCTCAACATTAAAACACTATAAATGGGCTCATCAGTCCAATCATGAGCCATATATATGGTCCTCGAGAAAATATCAGTGCTGGCCCAATCATACAGCTTTGGTGGTCTGAGCACGTCTCATATAATACGACAATATTTAGAAGAGAAAATTACCTGGTCAACCAACCCAATACATTTTTTATCACATACATACAATACATATATACTTATTAGCAAAACTTGCAAAAATGACTTTTATTTGCATAAATATTAGGACCGATAATTATCGGTAATTGAATTATATATGGACGGACTTAATGGGATTGCATAAATTCTCTCTCTCTCTCTTTCTCTCTCTCTTGACTCAACTGACTATCCTATTATTCCACCGCCTACTCGTCCGCCGCCAACGCCGCCACAACTCCAATTTTCCCAGCGACAAAGAAGGCCAAGCACAAGCGGTCAGGTGCTCACTCGACGGCAGAAGAGACGGCCAGCAGCATGTTGCGCCCTACGTGCACTTCAGCGACCCGATGGCTCTGTCTCCTATTTATCGAAGACGATCCCAACGACATCGTGATTGAGGCGTCTTCCCCTTCCAGCGCTTTCAACCGTGGCCCGCTGCGTCATGGACGAGATGAAAATTGGCGAAGATGTCATTGAAAGTGATAACCCATCTGACACAAAAAAAAAATGAATGACAAAGCCGACCAGGTCGACAATTATAAGAAAAAAAGGTCAAGGACTCACGATGAGCGTCAAATCTTGTGTAAGAAGGGCATCAAAATAATTTTCAGTGTAAGTTGCATTTATAGACTTTATATTTTGCAGTATATGTTGCATTTTTATTCACATGCCATTTATCTAACCGCATTTGTGATGTTTGAATTTTTTTTTTATATTTTCTAATTAATTTTATACCGACGATCACAATATTTATATGTAAAACACTTTATAAGTGACCTTTAGGATGTAAAAAAAAAGAAAAAAAAAAAGAAAAAAATAAATGACAAAACCGACCAGGTCGGCAATTATAAGAAAAAAGAGGTCAAGATTTAACAACGAACGTCAAAATCTTGTGCAAGATGGTCATTAGAATAATTTCAATATATGTTGCCTTTATAGTCAGTACAATTTCAGTATTTATGTTGCATTTTTATTTTCATAAAACATTTATCCAACCACATTTATAAGAAAAATGAGTGACAAAATTGACCAGCTCGGCAATTATAAGAAGAAAAAAGGTCAAGACTTAACGACGAGTGTCAAATTTTTGTGCAAGACATGCATTAGAAGAATTTCAATATATGATGTTTTTATATTCAATACGTTTTGATTTATATAACATTTATCCACCCGTCATCGCCAATTTCTACCCAATGGACCAACTGAAGTCCTACTTCCACCGGATTGACTACCTTGACCCCGAACCCTCCACCAACCTCTTCGACGATGACCTCAAGTCCGTCGTCCGCCGTCTACTCATGAGAGAGAGGGAGAGACTTATATAAGCACTCTTTAAAACATGTTTTTTTTTGTGTTGTATTTTTATATGAGCCATCACTAATAAAATAGAGATTCCTCATGGGAACGTATTTAAAGAAAATCCGACTAAAGCTTTATCACCAAACGATTACACACACTCTGCAGGTGTGTGGATAGGCAATAATTTATCACCACACGATCACACACACTCTGCAGGTGTGTGGATCGTACGGTGGTAAAGCCACTGATGGCAGTAGAATTGAATTTTCCTTATTTGATATATATTTATATTTATATTTGTATATATCAATTTATCAAAATGGATAAACAATATTGTACCAAGAATAAACTTACAACCATTCCCCCACTTATTTCATCACACCACCAGTGGACTCTGTTACACAACCTCTCACTATCTTGCAACTCTCACTATTCCATATACTATTTAGTATTTACAC